GAAGTCGCGCTTCCAATCTACCCCTCGGTGGCCTTCCAGGTATGGCTGGGGATGTCAGTGGAGTGCATCTTTACCCGTAGCAAGGATTCTGCCCAAACCCAGCAAGGACTTTCTCAAAGCAAGACCGATCATTGGATGCGATCATTGTTGGCATTCTCGTTTGACTACCTTTTTGGCCAAGGCGATCTTTCAGATCATGTTGATTGTTTTTCCGACTGGTTCCACCTTTAATGTTTTGTCGGTTCAACAAGCAGTTCGCATGATGTGGCACTCGATGATGGGGTATTCGGCAGATGAACCCACCATAATGAAGCAACAGGACCTGGTGGGCTTCTTCAATTCAGTACCACATGATCGCATTCTGCAATCTTTGCTTTTCGTTCTGCAGCTTCTAGAAGATCGTTGGCATAAACCGTGGCAACAGCAATCCTTGCAGGTTTCGATTCGCAGCAAGGATCCCAACTTTCGAGTCTTTCGTGGACGCCGCAGGTTTGCCGCGAGGAACACGAAGACGCTTCCTTTGGAGGACCTGCCTGAGTTAGTTGGGTTTCTACTGCGGTCCAGTTTCTTTCAATGTGGCATCCACACCTTCAAGCAGATTCAAGGAGCCAGCATGGGATCGGCACTTGCACCAGTGTTATGCACTCTGGTCGCTTCGACCACGGAATTTCTGTGGCTTCGGAATTTTCGCACCATTCTGAACAACATTGGTTTCCAGACTGCCGCTCGATATGCGGACAACCGTGTCTTTCATTTACATTCAGGCATTCAAAGAAATCCATGGCTTCAACTACTTTTTCATCTTGAATTTTACGGCTCACCCATCATCCTGGAGGACGTGTTGACTGAGACCTTTTTAGGTACCACATGTTCCAACGTGCAGGGCACCATCACGGTGGTACAACCCACCGATGCTTCAACCATTCGTACGTTGCAGTCAGTTGGAAGGAAAGAACACGTTCTTTCTGGTTTCTCTGCTAGGGTTCGCACGATCATTAGACTTTCACGACCGATGCGCTTGATTCGGCCACAGGTGGAGGACTTAATTGAAATCTACCGGGCCCAAGGCTTCTCACAGAGCGTTCTTTCACCGATTGCACACCACCTTTTAAAGTCTGTCGGCATCCGATTCACATAAAAAGGACAGGACTTTTGGTCAGCCGCAGTAGAGCCGATGTATCAGATGAAATGCGCGCTGTTCTCTCTCTCTTCCTCTTTCTCTCTCTCTTTCTCTCTCTCTCTCTCTCTCTCTCTCTCTCTCTCTCTCTCTCTCTCTCTCTCTCTCTCTCTCTCTCTCTCTCTCTCTCTCTCTCTCTCTCTCTCTCTCTTTCCCCTCTCCTCTCCTTTACACGCTTCGGTCGCAAGAGTTTCAGTGAACGCACATACTTGTTGCAGAGTTCACGGCTGCAGGATTAGAATTTTCGTACATTAAAGCCATGAAAAGGACAGCCGCCGATGCGGGCTTTCCGCGTGAACCGCAAGCTGTCAGAGTTACAGTTCAGATGCCAGCTGATCGATGTACCAGAAACCAGGCGATGATCGTTCATTTGGTGTGCTGCAGTGTGGACAATATTGATGCAGTCAAGAAACTTCTTACATATAGGATCAAAGAGATGACAGGACGTCGTCCCCAGCTGCAGTGTTTCCAACTACATCAAAACGGGAGGCATTTCTCTTTCCTTGAACCGATCACTGCATTGGCTACATTGGACGTGGTTCAATTCGTGAGGACCGCTCCAGATTTCAGGGATTCCGATGATGTACAGAACCACCCAACTAGGTGGAATCCACAGGTATGGTGACTGATTCATCCTGTATAAAAGGTACGTGTCAGGACTGTGGTCGTTGCACTGTTGGCTTCTTGAACGTTCCTTGTGCATTTCTGTCGACGCATAGGTTCAGGACCCTCGGTAGAAGCAAGGGAATGCACCATGGCTCGATTCGTTTCGGAGGTTGTGTCAGATGACTGTGACTCTTTCTCCATCTCTGACGAGCACGTGCTCTCAGGATGGCACGTCGACAATCTGAGTGAGACTGACAGTGGGGATAATTCTTCTACATGCATACCTCGATGCATCACCCCGGAGGATTCCTCGGATATAGACTCTGCACACATCGGAGGTACCACGGATGAACCATCAGTGGAGGACAGTGCAGTGGTTCCTGAAGTGACTCGTGTTCCGGATCCAGAGCCACTTCCCAACAAACCTCGGCGACGTTTGCGCATGATGGATGAGGACTCTGACGGTGTTAGGGTCAAGACTCTTCCTAACCCACGTAGGATGTTTCGACGCCATATGGAGAACACCCGCATTCTAGGCGACGATTTTTACATTCCCAATCGTGCTTCGCTGATCCTCGGCTTCCTTCAAAAACATGGAAATCGCATTGTTAAAGAAAAGCCAGGACCTAAGAAGAGGTTTCGCAGCACATTGGACTTGGTTCGCCATGTCTTGAAGACAGCGAAGAAATCTTCGACGGACTAACAACTTGCAACCTGCCCAGGTCCCGGAAACAAGACCACAGCTGTTGTTCTCCTCTCTCTCTCTCTCTCTCTCTCCTTCTCACTTTTCTCCTTTCTCTCTCTCTCTCTCTTCGCTTTTCTCTGTTGTGCAGCATGTGCATAGGAGGCAACGCATGGATCCACTTTTCAGGTTCGAGTCTACATATCTTGCAGGTAATCAGCAGCCATGGACAATCAAATGATGAGAGACACTCAGTGGCGTGTCAGTCAAGCATCCACAGCTCAGTTGTTGGAGCTGCTCTGGCAGATTTGGGACAGACTCAATCGCAGGTTCCGGTTTCAGGATGGACCTATTCGTTGTTCACATCGGTGCCACCATTGCGAGAATCGTTGCTGCTATCACAGTCACCATACTACGCAGGAACAACAACATGATTGGTACGGGCCGCATTACTGTTTCCTGCACGATGAAGACGGTTACCAGCATCTGTGATCGATAGATTCCGACAGGATCTGTTTCCGACAGGACTTGATGTCGCGAGTTTTTGTAAAAGAACCAGTGCCGGATGCGATTGGATACAGGACCCAGCTTTACCTTTTGAGGTATACATGAGGACGTGTATGCATTTGTCTGCCTGTACTTGTAACCTGGAGGTTTGGACGCTTTCACTACTAACGTTCTTCAACAATGCATTGTATGTCTCGTTGCCACAGAAGTCGGACCCAGGACCCAGGACGTCCCCTCACTGAGGGGTGTGTGTGTGTAAGCCTCGATTCTAAGCTAGAGGTTTTTGGCATGTGCGATGCAAGTGATTTCCGATGCTACAATGTTCCTTTGTCAGCAGGGGGGCAAGGGCTCCAGTGATCAGCCTTGCCCAGCGAAGCCAAATCACTGGAGTGGATGCAGTGGCTGATCACCACTGTGTACCTGCTTTCGGATTAGCCAGTGGGCCCCCTGAGGCACTGGAGTAACCAACACTAGAGTGACAGCTTCATGTTTGCCACAGTTGAGTTCCTGCATGGTTGCTGCAATCTGATCATTCAGGTGTGACTTAGACCTCAGGTGTTCGTCGACTTTAGCCACATATTATGACAAAACTGGAAGTGATTGGTTGTGTCCTGATGGACCCCAAACTCCGTGTGTGTATGTGTGTGTGTGTTTGTTTCATCACGTGTTGGCAGAAGTCAGGGCCTTGCAGACTTGCATGCCAGAAGTTGAAGATTTGAACCAGCAGCCTCCACTTCTAAACAAAGACGCTAGCCCCAGTCGCAAGCAACACGTGGGTTGGCTGTCAAGCCTTCATTTCGGTGTCCGTTGAGCATCATGAGCATGCGCAGGGGGCTGAGACTGATGCAAGCTACGGGCCATGCTGTAGATGCACCTGCAGCGCATTGCAGTGGCATGGACATCTTGCGGAGTTGCTTCCTGCCACCTCTCTAAGGCAATCTGTTGCAGCTGCCTGGTGCGTGGTGCAGCTCCAGGCATTACATCCTTTCTTTGCAACCAATTGTGTGACTCTGGGTTATGCTGCCTCGAACAGCCTAAGCCGGTCAGGCAGATTCACGAGTCATTCGACAGCTTCATTAGACACAAACAGGAGTCACCGACAGTCAAACATGAGTGTGACAGGCGCAGCCTTGCGGAGCTCTGCAGCCGAGTCAACGGCTCAGCTCTAATCTCCTCTCTTAGCTTGCATCTTCAACATCTCTTTGAACGTTGCGACACGAACAATGTTTCGATATCAGTCTGAAGATGGGCAATCCAACTATGCAAAAAACGGTGGCCATCAAGGCTACAAAGTGGCCCGTGATCAGTGGGACTGCTAAACGGCTTCGCCTTCTAATGAGGCTTCTGATCACGCAAAGGCTGTTAATTCGGTGATTTCCGAACAGGCAAGGTCACACAAACCCCAAAATGCAGACCTGACCGCGGCAGGCACTGAGCCCTGCAGGCTGTGGTAGCGGCTAGGGCTCTTGTACAGTGGGCTCGCTGCAAGAATTTTCACTGTAGTCTTTCCCAGCAAATTCTCTTTCCCGATCAGCTGGCAGATTGGATGGGATCAGAACCAAGAGACAGAACATGCGATTTATCGCTCTCCTTTCTTTGCTTCCATTTCGGTACCAAACCCACAAATGAGGTGCCACCGTCACCTGCTTGCTTCGCTGCAAGACGTGGCTTCTGTGCTGTGTCGGCAGCACGCGTCAAGGACGAAGTGAAAGCCATGAGAACTGCATGGTTTCATCACGAAGTGACAAATGCAGCACGGCTCCGGCGGCTAATACCATAAACCAGCAATGAAGCAGAAAGCTTCGGCCCGTATCAGCTGTCAAAGCCAGAGCTGAAGCTGTACGATGTAGTATGGCAACGTACAAACGTCCCCAAGCATACGCCATCGTGCCTTGGTCGATTTGGTGTCGGCCGATGTAGTGGAGCTGTGCGAACTGAAGCTCGCTACTCTTCACTCACCCTCACTAGTATGCCAAGACTCTCTTGTAATGGTTTGTCCAGGAGCTCAGAGATCGAACCGGGGCCTCGATGGGTGCGCCTTACCTCGCCTTCAGCAGAGTCGGTTGATGTTTGTTAGCTTGTCTCCCTGCCAGGAAAGCCTTCATCTCAGACATGAGCGTCTTTCGGAGCTCGAGTGCTGAGTACATCTTTTCGGAAGTCTATTTCTTCAGGTGTCGGGAAGCGCTGAAAGAGAGCGGGGATTTGGACGAGGTGCGAGTTGCGAGTGGCGAGCGAAAGTTGAGCCGCAACAGTCCGTTGCTGGCAGGCTGTGGAATGGTTGAAGAAGCGTGGTGTGCGATCCATGGAGAAGCGTGCTGCTGAATCCATGGAAGTACCTTGGCGATGTGGTGCCGTGGGCCCGGGCCCGGCAATCTCTTTCGAGGCACTTCTCTCCCTGGGCCTTGACAAAAACGGTGTCATCGTGGAGTTAAGGGTACTTCTCCCAGCTCCCCAGATCAGCCACTTCACAAGAGTCATGCTGGGAAGCGTGAGGCTGAGACGGATTTCGTGACTCGGAACGAGCTCTTCCAGCAGTGTCCTCCCTGGAAGTTCCAGAGCGTGGTATCCTGTCTGTGGCATCCTTGCCTGCGTTCACTGAGCTGCAGGACCCTGAGGCACCTGGCGAAGATGCTCGTAGCAGAGCCCGAGATAGCCGACGCTGGTGTTGAGGCCATGCTTGTCCCCTTCGTTGCCTGCAAATTGTCATGCTCTGTCTCACCAGGCTGCGCTGGCCATGAGAGTTACAGATGGTCCGGAGAGACCTTCGTCCACGCCCAAGACCGGATAAGACCCTGTTGAGTGCAGCGAAGCGCCGGCAAAGGCAACTTCGCGAGGGAGCTCCTCTTTCTGAAGCTCTGCTGGAGCTTGGAAGTGCGGCCCGGCGCAAGATTTGTGTAAAAGGCGAGGATGCTCAGACAAGCTCTGATCTGTCTCAAGGGCCGCACACGTAGCCTCTGCCTGTGGAATCGCCATGCACTATACTAGTGCTTTCTCATGCAGCCTGTTGTCGTTGCGCCTTACCATAGGTGCTGTCAGACACCTGCCATCACCTGCTATGAAGTGCAACGTCGACCACCTTGCAGCTGTTAGAACCACTCACCGTGCCATGCGCGCCTATAAGGTACTGGGCGAAAAACTCGTCCTCGCGAATGTCTGAAGCTGATCCAACCTTGCACCTGCTGTGGTGTGCGTCGCCGGTACATCCTCTAAGGTGCACTTCTTGAAGGCCCCTGCAGAAGGAGTCGTTGCAGGATATGTGCACCCAAAGTTTGCAGCTCGGCACATACCTGCACGAGCTTCCCAGCACTTCGGTAGGTTGTCAATAGGTCGAGTCGTAATCATGAGTCGACCCTGGAGAATCTTCTCAGCATAGATTCTTGATCCTACAGCAGAGTCTGCATGTGTCGCAGAATCGCACGGTCTAGAGCTTCTTCCGAGAGCACACGACGTATAGCAACGGCAAAACTCAACACGGGGCGGATCGGGACCACGCAGCCAAATTCCACGTGGTCGGGCAGAAAATCACACCTGCTGGGACATCTTCAACACTCTGTGCATTGCAGCCGGGATTTCTCGCACATAGTTGCAGCTTGCACCGGGCCTCTTCGGCTCTGTGATCTTTCGAGCATTTCGTTGTCACGCGTGCGTGTGTGTGTGTGTGTGTGTGTGTGTGTGTGTGTGTGGAACACCTGTTTACCAAGGTTTGCTGAATTGCATTAAGATTGCAGGGGGGCAGTGAGCCTTCTATCATCCACTGCCCAACGAAGACGGTGATAGAAGTGCTGTGAAGCAATCTGGGACGCCAGATTGTGTACCTGCATCGGAATGGCACTGGGGCCAAGCCATAAACCCCATATGAGTGCAGTTTTGATTCAGGCCAGAGGTAAAGCCTAAATCCTCTTAGAGTCCTACACCTCTGAATGATACGACTGCAGTTCTTGAGATTTACATTAGTCCAGAGGGAGGATTGCACGAGTGTGCTCTAGACGGCTTTCGTCGATCGTGTCGTCTACGGTAGGGTAGCCTACTGCCTGGCCCTGATCGGCCCAGTCATAATCATCGGACCCTGATCGGTCCAAGCCCTGATCGGCTTAAGGACAAAACAAGACCTCTTGGTCTCTGGAGATCGAAAATGCTCCACGGAGCAACCATACGCAGTTTAGGGCTTGATTGCCCAGTTGCAGACAGGACTGATGCCTTTTCGCTCCCAAAACAGCCGTCAGTCTGATCAAGCAACCGTTCTCCCCTGGACAACTGATCTCGCCATGGCCTCCTGGTCATCATGGTCTAACAGCGACTCCAGCAGCAGCTGGGACAACCGACAACAATGGAATCGCTGGAGCAAAGAAGACAAATGGGACTCCAAATATTCAGAGAAGTCGTGGGAATGTGTAGCCAGTCCCACGTATCAAACTTTTTCTTTGCCGTCTTCTTTTGTTTCTGATGACCAGCACTATGACAAGACCCCTTTGGGCAAAGGTGCTCATGTGCTGCACAAGTTGGTTCAACCAACAGAGTGGTCTCGCAAAGCGGGGCTTGCTGGCCGGGATGTCAGCGACATCCGTGCTTTTGAGCTTGCCCATCGGGGCCTTGGAGATTTCTCATTTCGATTGTTGTCGGAAGGACGGCACCAGAGTATCGTCTGGGCTCGAAGCGGCCAAGAACCGGTACTCATCACTGCACTGTTGAAGAAGCTTCGTGAAAGTGGTGTGTCTATCGATGAGGCAGCGAAAGCATGCCATACTTCGGCTCCTCCAGACAAGCATAAGGAAGCAATGCGATTCATGGAACCGCTTGCTCAAGAACTTTTGAATTGTGTGTTGGCCAAAGCGCCTCCAACAAATCCGGATGCCTCTGAAGAACTTGCCAAAGCTAAAGCCAAACTGGCTGCACATGGCATTGCAATGTCCCCTTTGAAAAGGAAGGCGACTACAGATCTTGAGCCTGACTCAGGTCGACAGGCAAAGCCTGCCATGCCCATTGCTGAGCCGGAATCCCAAATGGAAGCTGAACAGCTCCTTAAAGATCCGCAACGAAAGCTGGATACTCGTCCCAAAGGAGCCACAGATGACCATGTCACTGAATGGCTAGCCACTTACAAGAACAAGCCAGAGTTTAAAGGCAAGTATCAAATGCTGGTCAAGCATGTACAGACTGTCCAGAAGCTTCTCAAAACTGAAGCATCTAAAGACCAACTGGTTGCAGCTGCTAAAGAGTTTGGTCTGGATCCAAAGTTGGCATCCAGACTGTCCATCAAGAACTTGTCCACTGTGATTGCGGTTGCACAATTTCAAACTGCTTGACTAGCAGTTCAATGCCAACATGTTGCTGCTTCAAGCAAACAAGGAATCAAGCAGCAAATTTGTATGTTGGGAGAGGCTGTGACGTTCTTTTTACACCACTGTCCGGGCTTCAACAAAGAGTCTGCATTATGGGCCCAAGGCCTGCTTCATCTTCTGTTGCTATTTTACTTTCAAGAAGGCTCTCCGTCTTCGTATGCTGAGACCATTCGACAGAAGCTTCAGCAGTTCCGGGTACACCCAGCCACCTACACGTGGCCCAGATTTCAATCACAAAATGCGGTGTACATGAAAACAGCAGTGGATTGGCGCCATTTTTCAAGCATTGAACATTACAGGCAGCCTTCCACATTCATGTACATAGGCTCCACCAGCCAATCTGTTTTTCGAAGAGAGTCAAACAGATTCTCAGTTGCCAGGAAGCTGGCAAACGGGGGTGAAGCTCAGGCCGAGCTAGCCATCCGATACTGGGTGTCCAATCAGTGTCTTGAGCAGTACACTTTGTTCCTCGTTTCTCCATGCTCAACGTACAAGGAAGCATGGGTTACCGAGCACTGCTTGATTGGGATGTGGCAACCCAAGCTCAATCACCCGTACATTACCTCCTTTTTGAAAAGGAGTGCATTGGGCTTTAGACCCAACAAGAGAGTTCGACACAGTGTGTCCTCTAGGTTCGGGTTAAGACTGTGGAGAAAACTGAGAAAGAAGCTCCACAGACAACTTCAGCCCGTTCCTTTTCAACTCAAGAGAAGGTCGGCATGGGAGATACTATTCAATCTTACATGCTTCAGCCGTGCCCCCTTTGAAGAGGCAAAAAAGCTGCGAAGCGACCGATACCTTCCAGATGAGATTTACTCCTTGATTCGCTTGAGCAACTGCCTGGAAGAGCCTGGCAAAAGTAAAGCTAGGAAGGTGCTCAAAAGTGTTTGCCAATTTCGAAACATGTCCTGGCCAATGGCAGCACTGGGCTTGCAGTTGAAATTCACTGCATCCCCAAGCTTTGGGTCAGATGTTTCCAGATGGATCCGAAAGCTTGTATTGGCACACAAGCCGATCCTTATACCTTTTCACCTCCCAGTTTGCAAAGTCAGAGAGCAACCTCATCAGTCTCTCAAGGACTTCATGCACAATTTCAAAGACTGGGACCATTGGTTGCAGAATCATTCTGTTGATGAAGCACCATGCCCTTGTACTTACTATGCTAAACTGCTGCCGGAACAGTGCCTCACTCGAGGCCATGTTGTAGCAGGCATAGAACAACTTGGCAGCCTTCACCGCTCCTTTGAAAAACTAGGGAGTGGTAGTGCATCTTCAGCCTTTTTTCCTTCCAAAAGAGAATTTTTCAATCACAACACCCGTTTGTTTGCGTCTTGGCGGCGCAAGCATTGTCTTCCCAAGGGTGTTGAATTAGCGTTTCAGCAATTTCTCGAGCAACAATGGAGCAAACACCTCGATCACCTGGGCCAAGAAAACCGGCTCACATGGCGAGATGTTTCTGCTGCTCGTGATTTACTGCACCGACAGTTCATTGTTCATTGCGAAGACCACGAGCCGAACCATCTTATGGTCTTCTGTCCCAAATTCTACCTTCAAGCTGCCACGAAGACCTGGCAGGATCCAGATGTTTTCGAGCCTGTGGAAGGCTCCCAAGAACTCTGGAACCAGAGAGTTTTTCAACAGATCCCCAGCATATTGAAAAGACGATATAGATGGGGAATCAATGCTTCCGGCACCTTGCCTGTTGGGTTCGTCTTTCTTAAACGCAAGAAAGAATTTTTGAAAGGGAGGACGATAATATCGTATTCCAACAGCTGTATCAAGAAGTTGTTGATCGCAGCTGCACAAGCGATTCTTTTGATGGTTCGCTTGGTTTGGCCTGAAGCAATGGGCCTAGCAACCACACCCCAACTTTGGAAGAAGCTGCATCAGTTTCTCCGCCGCACCCCGTCTACGGTGCATCTCGCTGAAATCAATGATGATCTCGTGGGATTTTTCAATTCTGTGCCCAGACAGCAAATCCTGGATTCGCTGTCGATGCTTGTACAGCTGTATCAAGCTCAGGAGTACCCTCCACACATTACGGTATCCTTGAAAAAGCAGCCCAATTGTGAGTCTGCTTGGCCTGGCAAACCCATGGCAAAGGGAGCCAAACACATAAGGTTTCTTCATGTTTCGGACCTGACTGCGATTGTACAGACCTCTTTCCAAGCAGGAGTGTTCACCACTCTTGGCCTATTGTTCAGGCAACACCGGGGCACGTGTATAGGCAACCAAATCAGCCCGGTCCTCAGCAGTCTTCCCGTAATTCAGCGAGAATCCTGTTGGCAAAGAGAATGGCACCAGTTCCTGGAATCTGCTAGGTTCTTTGACAACCAAGCATCGGAACTGTTTGTCTGCAGATATGTTGACAATCGACTTGTAGTGTGCGATGAGAACTTTCTATCGCACCAATGCATGAAAGATTTTCAACACCTCTCTTTTTATGGAGGAACTATCCAG